ACTGGAAAAGAAAAGCACAAAATAGAAGCGAATGGAGAAATATTGTCCACCAAGTTCTTCAGAGTAGTTAAGAATGTTGTATATACATATTTAAGTTAAAATTTTGTTTAAAATAATTGTAATTAGTTAATATTATTATTATGTTTACAAAAATTGTTCTAGGCCTTAACGGCCTGTTTTGCGTAAAAATAAAATAAATAAATAACTTGACTCAACGTTCAACGACAAATTTCATGCTTAGGTATTTGTTCCACTTACTATGTATGTACTTCTTATAGAAAGACATGGCACCAACTTACTTAAAGTAGCCGCCATAGGCATCTCTGGTATCCTTAATAAAACAAATGGTACAACAAATTTTCGGATAGAATAGGATCATGATATTTTTAAACGTGTTTCCTACGTTGTATAAAATAAAGTTAGAAAAATATTTTAAACAATTGATAAGAAGTAAATGTTAAACTCTTTGTTTTGGAAACCCAAATAAAACAAAACATTTATATTTAACAAACTGAGCGCTGACTAAATTACCTCTGTATCTCAAAAGAATTTTCAGACGGTTCCCCAAAAGTCGTTATAAAAGAATTTAAAATTTAATTCCAAAATGAAAGATACTAACTAAGATCCAAACAACAGCTAAATTCATACTGTTTTAACTTGCTACATCAGATTTCGTCGTAAAGGTTAAATTTCGAAGAGAGTTATTAAATTATTAAGTTAGAATTTATATAACTCCGAAAGTAGGTACAGAAGTTTTGTTGATTATGAATTCAATTCTGTTGAAAAAGTAAAAATCTGGCAGGAATCATTTTTAAAATAGTATATATGCAATATTTTAAATAATTTTAGCAATATATCTCGAAGAATGAAATATTAATCCGCTGTAAAAAATGAAAAAGAAATAAGTTCATAAATTATTTTTTCTTCAAATGTCAAGTAATGATGACATTACTTGATCTAACTTGATCCTGTCATAGTTTGATGTCTCCGCCGGCAGCAGTTTTTTTTTTAATTTCTTTACGGCGGAGGGAAAAATGTTGCCATGGCAACAATATGAAACATGTCACAAAGCAACAATACAAATGTCATTAACAACAATTGAACATCATTTTTATTTATAGTAATATTAAAAGTACAATTAGTTAATGAGGCATTTTCAAAATTGAAACCGTGCAAAAATGGTCCCGACTCTTGATACGCATTGGTAATTGTTGATGATACTGATGGTCGAGAACAACTTTCAGCAATCATTCCCGATGTTGGCGAATCATGAGGGTTTAAAATTTTTTGAGCATTATCGTTCTTATTCCTTATTGAATCCTCTATATATCCTTCGGCAACCGTGCTTGATTTCTAGCCCTCATGTCGTTTGAGGCATTCTAGATTTCCGCCTTTATCAATTAAAAGTGTTGCTAAAGTTCGTCGTAAAGAGTGACCCGTGTATGCGCTTGCATCGTTTAAATTTAAATAACTAGCGACTTTTTGGGCTACTGCGCTGATCGAATGTATTCCCATGACGCTTTGGTAACACTTTCCATTTTGGTACTTGATAAAAAATCGGTTTTCTGTGAAATTTTCAGGCCGCAGTGATGCATACTTTTTATACAGTTTAATGTAGTTTTGACCAATTATCGTAAAAGATCTAATTTGTCGTGTTTTACTGTCTGGGATTTTGATAATTATTACATTTTCTTTATCCTCAATGTCCACAGTCTTCATTTTTACCATTTCGTCGCATCGACAAACGCCGGTAACCTCTATTAACAAAACAATCTGAAATATTTTTATAATTTAGTACAGTATACTACATGCTTTGCAATATAATTTTTTTTACCTTTAATCCTAAATACAACTTATCTGGCGCTTCAAACAAAAATTTATCAAACTCGTCTTTAGTGAAAACTTTAGACTTCTTTGCAGTATATTCTTCGCTTGTTTTTTTCAGAAAGGCACGTAATAATGAATGTGTTGCTTGTATGAGTCCATTTCAAATAGGTAAAGAAATAATAAATAAGACTTACTCACAATCAATTTAATTTAATTATCAGACGACCGGTTTCGCTTTCTACAATATGCAAAGCATCCTCAGGTCTCGGTACAAAGTTAAACAAATAATAGAGTACCGGCATCATTTGTTTAACTTTGTATCGAGACCTGAGGATGCTTTGCATATTGTAGAAAGCGAAACCGGTCGTCTGATAGTTAAATTAAATTGATTGTGAGTAAGTCTTATTTATTATTTCTTTACCTATTTAAAGGCACGTATCTTTAAAAATTTGCTTATATCCACATGTTTTCTAATAACTAACTAACTAATAAAACGTCTTCGGTAACTTGCCGTACTCCTCTTGTATCGCACCACTCTTGGAAGTGCTTGTACGCTAACTGATACTTTATTCCGGACTTGGAGGGCCCCAAACGTGCTACTTCATCATTAGCCGCGGACTCAATTTCGTTTAGGTTTTCCATTTTCGCACTAAATTTGCTCTTGCGGTTGCAACAACAATAAGCTGTCTTTAATAATTGCAAACAACTATCAAACAACTGTAACCAGGGAGACGCAAATCCCACCGACGACTTAATTATTTTAATTTTTAACATCTAGACGACTTTGATAGTTGTCACAGTTAATTTCGAGTAAAAATAGCGTATGAAGTGTACTATTTATGGTTGAAAATTGCTACGTTTGAAGAAAAAATAGTATACTTTATTCGGCAAAGAAGCGACTTTTTTTGACTTGCCCTCTATTACGCGCCTCACTTCGTTCGGCGCGTAATATCGGGCGCGTCAAGAAAAGTCATGCTTCTCCGCCTCATAAAGTAATATACTATTACTTTTCAACTTTTGAAAAAGTTTAGTTCTAGTCGTTTTATAATTAATGATTATATTGAGAAAGTCGAGAAATAACTTTAATTACTATAAAAATATTGCAAATAAAAAATAGTTGTCTTATTAAAGAAATAAAGGGTTTCGACGATTTATTATCGATAAATGCTTTTAGACATGATTAATCATATACAGTTTAAAATAAAACTGTTAGGAAAAATTAAAGTTGTACCGATAATAAAATTACACTATTATGTTTTAGGTAAAAATAATCTATTTTTCAATAATATTTTAAATAGTAACATGTGTAAAACAAAATCGTTTGGACTATGTCACCTACCTTTAACCGTTATCCAGGATTCAAATTATATTAGTTAGGTAACAACGGGGTCAATCATCGCTATGGTGTTGCTACCTTAGTTGCCAAAAAGATCAATTACTCGGTGAGAAGTTTTACACCTTATTCTAATAGAATCTTATCAATACAACTTTAGTCTAAAAAAGGTATAGTAAATTTTATTCAACTTTATGCTCCTACGGCAGATAAAGATGACGACGATATCGAACTATCTTACCATGATTTGGAACAAGTCTTAAAATTACTGAAGAAACATCAAGACTTCAATGCCAAAGTTGGCCAGGGAAGAGGAGATGAATATGTGGGGTAATATGGTCTAGGGAATAAAAATGAACGCGGTGACCGTTTGATACAATTTTGCCAGATGGAAGAATTTGTTATAGCTAATACACTTTCTAAGCTACCAAAAAGAAGATTGTATACATGGAAATCTTCGGGTGATAGAACGAATAGAAAAATCCGAAATCAAATTGACTTTGTCCTCATTAGATAAAGATTTCGTAATTCTTTACTGTCTGCCAAAACTTACCATTAAGCAGACATCGGTTTAGACCATAATCGCATAGTAGTCACATTACGAAACAAATTGAAACTGGTTAAAAAACCCACACAAAGTAGAATTGATATTAAGAGATTAATTGAACCACAAACAAAGGAACAAACTGTAAAAACTCTTAGTTAGTTAGTAAGAAGCTATAACATTGATCAGAAATGGGAAAATATAAAAGTAGCAATAATTAAAACAGCAAATGAAAACCTAAAACCAAATAAAAAAAACATAAAGACTGGATGACTGAAGAAATACTACTATTAATGAATAAAAGAAAATCATTCAAAACAAAAAATCCAATTAGAAATAATGAAACTGATCGATTAATTAAAAAGAGATTAAAAGAAGCTAAGGAAAGAATGCTACATGAGCAGTGCCAAGAAATAGCAGAAATTGAGAAAAAATATGACGTTTTTAACACGCATAAAAGAATTAGAGGATTAACAGGAATAAAAAAAAACACTTCAAACTAGGCAACTAAGAGATGAAAGTGGTGCACTTATAACAGATATAAACCAAAAAATGCAGAGATGGGCACAATATATAGGACAACTTTTTGAAGACAAAGAGAGAACAGAAGCACCAAAAGAATTTAAGGATGATACTGGACCTGACATTATACGAATTAAAATTATTAAATATGCAATCAAACAAGCCAAAAGTGGTAAATCATCTGGGATTGATAAAGTGTCTATCGAATTACTTAAAATTGTGAATACTGAATCTATTGACCTTCTTTTGGATCTAATCAATACCATATATAGAACAGGTCAATACAGGTGAATAATAGACAAAATCATGCTTTGTCATGTCAATGTAAATCATTAGTTGCCTCGTAAAACAGTCTTGTCTAATGTCTTCATTATTTGAGAGGAAATTATTTGCTGGCAAAATTTTCTTCTCAAATTCAAGTTTGTTGCATTTTGGCAATTTTTGCTGATGAAATTTTGATAAAATCACTCGACTGACATCTCGTAATTTAACTATCAAAATTTAATTTGCGATAATTGCCAATCAACAAACTTTCATATTACTCGAAAATATTGCCGGCAAAATTTTTTCTCTCAAATAAATATCTGTTCAGAAGCTTATTGTAGCAATAGATATGGATAAACATAAATGAAATACTTAATTTTGGTCTATAAAAGTTAGTAGAGAAGAAAAAATGCATTGTTTTTAAAATCAGCTTGATATACAGCTCTTTTTTAAACTAAAAAACTTTATTATTTCAGTAGTTGTAAACTATTTATTTAATTTTGATTCCAGGTTTCATATCATGTTGGGCGTTGTGGTGTGGTTGGCGTTAACTTGGAGTTTTGCCGGAGCAGTTATAATCAATGCGGTTTTAGAATCAGACGAACCAATAGCCAATGATCCATACACCTTGAAATGTCACAAGAAACAATACACCTACATGGTTACTCAGTCCGATGAAAACGGTAAACAATGCTGGGATAAGATTTCTGTAACTGCTTGTTGGGGCCGTTGCGATTCTAATGAGGTAAGATTTATACAATTAGGATTTATTTTTAATATTTTTTAACTAAAATTGTATATTATTTAGTTATTACAATACGTACAGTACATTCAACCAACTTACACCATTAACGATTAACACCTTTCGTTGTAGTAAAAGGCACGGTACACTGCACTGGTGTTCTTCATAGTGTTTAACAATTAGTAGAAGAATAACAAGGTTTTAGGTCTATAGAAACACCTCTAGGAATAATCAAAATGCTTAAAATTTCTACCAAAACAACATAATAAAAGTAACAGCAGAAGAAGAACTATATGACCGTATTAAAACTCTGGTGGCAATGGAATAAGACAGGGAGATTCCCTGAGTCCTCTCAGAGATGAAAGATTAATATGGATGAAATAATAAACAAGTAATAACTCTTACCGTCGCGCCGCTAATAACCTGTTGGTGGATGAGGCAATGTTTCTTTTTAATAAAAAAAACAATTTTAGAAACTATGTAGTCAATTTTTATCGGTACAAGAAAATTTAATTAAAAAAAAACAAAAAAAGACTGCTATTGACTTTCATATAGTAGTACAATCTACTTTAAAATTTTTCTCTGACATTGCTTACGTCTGCAGTTAATTGTCGACATTCATCCTCTATTCTTTGTCGAAAATCTTTCAGAGATTCAGGGGTTGAGTAGCATATTTTTGTTTTTAAATACCCTTATAAGAAAAAGTCTAGAGATATTAAATCCGGTGACCTAGATGGCCAATCCATCATCTCTTCTCTTCTACCTATCCTACAAGCAAGCAAAATTTCGTTTAAAAATTGTTGCACAGGTAGAGCAAAGTGCTTCATCACAGTGGAGGAGATTTATCATGTTAAAATACAACCGAATCTTTGAAAAGGTTATTATTATTTTCTACTATTTTTCTAATACGATCAACAACTTGCCTAAGTAACTTAATATACGGTGCACCATTCAAGTTTCCAGTAATAAAAAAGGGTCCGATAATGTGATCCCCTAAGATACCACACCCTATATTTAACCTTTGAGGATGTTGTGTGTGAAATGCAAGCACAATATGTGGATCAATCTCAGCCCAGTATCGGCAATTATTTCTATTCACCTAGACAATTAATGAGAATAACTATTCATCGGAAAAGCAAATAATGCTTAACAATTGTGGATTATTAATGATGCATTGTGTCATTATATATTGGTTATACCAATTTAATTTTGAATGCATGGAACTTAAATATATGGAAGACTGGGAAAGCTAGAAGGTGAAATACCGATTGCTCTGATTATTGTTTACAGTGACTGTGATTGCTCAGCCTTTAAAATGCCCTAAAACCACTACTTGGATTGCTTCGTCATTTACAAGTCCCTTTCGGTTATGTTTTTTATTGCACACTAGTCCTTTTGCTCTAAATTTTTGCACCAGTTCAGTCACATATTTATGACTTGCATGTCTATTGTGGTGTGTGTTATTAAAAATTCTATCAGCAGCTCTTGCACAATTATATATACCCACACACACACACATATATATAATATATATATATATATATATATATATATATATATATATATATATATATATATATATATATATATGTATATTACAAGATCCAACTTGTAAATACAATACATTTTGTAGACGGCTATCGCCGTATTCCCGCTCTCCTCCACCAATCCTCCCGGTCCAAGGCATACTCCTCCTCCAAACCTCCAGATTCCATTGCTCTTCTAATTCCTTCATTCCATGAGCGTCGAAGTCTACCTCTTTTCCTCTTTTTTTCTTCCAGGGGGCTTCCACCTGTAAAGTTTTTGGGGACGACGTTCGTCAGGCATTCTCAATAGTTGTCCAAACCATTTTAAGCCTCTTTTTTTTATTCTTTCAATGCCCATTTCTGTAGCATTCATATTATTTCTTATAGAATTGTTGATCTTCCTTTCCAGCTTTAATGTTCTAGCACTTCTTCTCAAATATTCCATTTCAACTGCCAACAATCTTCTCTTCAGGTCTGCATTAATTGTCCATACTTCAGAGCCATAACAAAGAAATGATACAATCATGGTTTGCCCTATTCTTTTTTTGTTCCTTTTGTAAATGTTGCGATCCCACCATAAGGAGTTCAGACATCCTACAATTTTACGTACCTGATCAATTCATTAATAATTAAATCACTAATTAAATATAAGATAAAAAAAACTTAATCCAACAAAGAAACAATCAGCAGTCTTAACCAAGAAAACAGGAACTGAAAAGAGAGTATCAACACAATTAATAAGGAATTGTGCATTTTTAATGATATAATATGCATATTTACGATATTTATGTAATTAATTATAATTGCCAAACACATATCGAGAACATATTTGCAGTTAGGCGAAATACATAATTAAGATGAGTTGTGCCGTGATCAGGTATAAAGGTTAGTTCATTAATTAGCAAGCCTAATTATACTTATTAAATGAACAGCTTGCGGTTAGAGAGGTAAAAAATAAAAAGGATCTTTAACATTACGAACATATAAGATCATAAAGCTACCCACCTGATATTTTATATACAACACACATAACATTCTATAAAAACCAACTTGTATAAGGTATTTGTTACATTAATATTTTAATATATTTTTCATTAAGTAAAAAAGTACGAATTACAATAATGTAATTAAAATTCTCAGCGCGATTTATGTAAATATAATTTTCCGCAAATCGCCAGGAAATTTTGACATTCCCGTCAAAATTTCTTGAAGAAAAAGTCAGGACTTCCTTACTGTAAGGAAATGTCATTTCCTTACTGTAAGGAAATGATATTTCCGTACAGTTGTTAGTGTTCTACATAAAAGTTTGACAATTCAACCTCAATACGTTTCCATAGTAACCCAAGTAATTTTATTAGGAATTTCAAAGCACCATTTATTTGGGAATAAAATTATCGCGTTTTTTTTTAAATCAATCAATATCTGTCGAATTTTAAACGATTTGCGGAAAAATAGTATGTTTACCTCGTAGGAAAAGCCACATTCCTGGACTCTGTGCTGCTAAGTCTCGGCTTGCGCCTCGACTTAGCAATCTTCACAGTCGTCCAGGAATGTTAAGCTTTTCCTACCCGGAAAACAATGTACTATTATTAAAGTAGTTGTTTTTGATTATTTGAGTTTAAATATACAGTGCTAGTCAATTTAGAACAAGTATACTTGTAATAGTGAAATTTGGTGGGGGATACTAAACACACGTAGGCTTCTTAACTATTCATAACAAGTGACGTAATAGTGACAGATGAGGATACAGCGCAAGTGTGACAGATAGTTTTAAATAGGAGCTTATGGCAAGTGATACCTCATTTGAAAGATATTGTAACTGCCTATTCAAACATACTAATTTTATTTGAGTTTAAGCTAATTTGGCCATTTTTCAATTTCTATGGGTTTTTGGATAATTCTTGGTTTATAGAAGCTGATGAGGGCTATAATTCTGGAGTTTTCAAAATCAATTTTTTCACCTGTCTAAAGATGAAGTTGACCTAGAGCTAAAATTGAATCGAAATTGCGAATATAAATGGAATGTTCATAAATTCTATTTTGGATTCTCTAATTTGTTTGGCCTATATAAGTTCGGGAGCAGTCTGCACAACGGATTTCATAAACTTCGTGTTGTTCATTTAAAATGTTGTTAATTGATTGGACAAGTGATGAATGTTTTTGTAGGGGGTCAATATTGTCTCTATTCTTCTTGATTTGAGAATTGTGACGATTTTGTCAGTGACACCTCTGATGTACTAAACGTTAACCTTAATAATTACTGTTCCATATTTATCATCGTTGGTATTATCATATTTCTATATTTATTGTACTGTTTATATCACGCATTATCGCTAGACAAAATCATTTTAAGACAATAAACACTAAAACAAAACAATATTGATGTCAATTTATAATTTATCCCTTTAATAAAAAGTAGGTATCTGTGAAGCTAACTACGAAGATAGAATAGTCGTTTATTAACGAATAATTAACATATTTTCTATTTTTTGTACTTAAACACTTATTAAATTCCATTCATGTTTTATGTTTTATATTCGGTGTTTGGGAGTTTTATTTTTTTTTTTTCAAATCATGGTGTATATCTTAATTCCGTTGTTTGCTAAACATTCGTTTGCTCTTCTCGTATTTAAAGATAATGAAAAATAATAATAATACTATTATGCATATTTCTTACTGTTCTTCTTCTTAACGTGCCCTATCAAGTCCCCTTGACGTTGGCGATTAACATGGCGAAACTGTCTCTGTCTCGAGCTATTCTAAAGAGTTGCTCAGCTTTCTTTATTCCTGTCCACTCTCTGATATTCTTCAACCAAGAGGCCTGCTTTCTACCAATTCCTCTGCGTCCTTCGATTTTACCCATCATAATAAGTTGAAGAATATTATATCGGTCTCCCCTTACTACGTGCCCAAAATGGGCCATCTTTCTACATTTGATGTTATCAAGCAGCTTGCGAGCAGCATTTGATCTCTCAAGGACTGCCACATTTGTCAGCATAGCCGTCCATGGACGGCTATGCCTAACTTTCACGCCCCATTCCAAATTATGCAGCGCTTCTTTAAATATTTTATCTGAATATAAATTAAATAACAGTGGGGATAGTATACAACCCTGTCTGACACCTCTTTGTATTTTACATATTTCTGTTGATTTTCCGTTTATGCAAGCTGTCGCTGTTTGACGCCAGTATAACTTTTCTTACTGTTATTCTGTGAATTTGCTATCCAAATACACAAAAATTTGTTATAGCAAAATGTTTCATCATAGATATTTAACTGCATCACTTAAAACAGCAAAAAACATTTTTGTATTCCGAAATTAACCTTAAGCTTAATTATGATGTTTTTATCAAATATAACATTATAATATATCTAAAAGAGCAATAAAATATTTTATTATATATCCCTCACCAAAACAATTCCCAATAAATATTCTACACGATACACGATTTATCCATTATTTCCAACTACCAATGA